AGGCCCCCCCCCCCCCCTCGTAACGCACAGTAACGGTGGCTCAAAACTCCGTTTCCCTGCGTGCGTCACGCAATACTTGAAAAATCTAATGGGATGCGTTGTTTCTCAGAATGCGGAGAGTCGCTCAATACCGGAGGGGAGCATCGTGACCTCGGATGGGGAGATCGACATCTCCCGCTTCGCGGAGGCGACGGTGGTGCTCAACAAGATGGACGCCATCATGAAGGGGGCCCTCGGGGCGGCGGCCCAGCTCGACGACGCCGCCAGGCTCATCAGGAAGCAGCGCGACGCCGCCTCCGTCGAGAGGACCTACAAGCAGGCCGTCCAGGGGGTCCTCGACAACCTCCAGGCCGGCAAGAGCAAGATCGAGCGGCTCCTCAAGGCCCTCGCCCAACGCGTCCGCTCGCACGTCAAATCAACGGTAAGCTCGATAATAGTAGAATAAGAGGGGGCATGAGTCCTGGCCGCTGTGCGGACCCCCGTGAGTTCATCTAAAATGATAGAAGAAACAACTTGATCGGCCCGAAACACTGACAAGGAAACATCTTAAATCGGGACTAAGGCCGCAAGTAATTAAAAAGAACACGAAAAATAAAATAAAAAGCCCGGGACGTTTCGCAGGGATCGCGCCCGAATTTTCAACCGGCAAAACAAAGAAAATTAAAAAGAAGGACACTACGAGGCTCACCGTTGTTACTATCTGTCTCACAATAACAATGGTGAGGCTCATACTGTCCTTCTTTTTAATTTTCTTTGTTTTGCCGGTTGAAAATGCGGGTGTATTCCTGCGAAACGACCCGGGCTTTTTATTTTATTTTTTGTGTTCTTTTTTTTATTTGCGGCCTTAGTCCGGATTTAAGTTGTTTCCTTGTTCATCTAAAAAGAGCGGCTCACCCGGACATATTTTTGTCAAACGGAACCAGAGACAGGTGGAAAAAAGAGGTGTGCTTCTGAGTCGAGGGCCGTAAGAATGAATTGAAATTATAAAGCGCCAATGACGACAGCGGCAACGGACTCGGGATCAAGATCGAGGATGGGGCTCTTTAACTCAAGCCCTGTCCACAACGCTCTTGTGCCATGCCCATGGCTTATGAGTGCTGCATTTAGTTAGCACCCAATTCCGTTGGATAGAATGTCAAATCCCGATTTCCAATTCTCCAAAGGGAATCACGCCCACATGAAAATTGTTTCTTACACAGCTTTCTAGAGCACACCTCATCTTTTCTACTCGTCTATAGTTCCGTTTGGCAGAAATACGTCCATTTTTTCTTAAAAAAACAACTTAAAACCTTCCTTGATACGTTTCTTGTTCGCAAAATGTTCCATGAAAATTGGAAGCTAAAAAGTTAGATTAAACCTCTTCGAAAAAATAAAATAAGAGAGAAAATTTAGAAGCACCGCGTTGAAATTATGTGGTTTCGCACTTTGGCCACCAATATTCTTTCTCATGACGGCCAAAATCTATCATAGAAGGAATATCTGAACGGACGAATGAATAAACGATTAAAAATGTTCTCCTTTTTTGGAAAGAAAATCAATCTGCAACCTTATTTTCATCTTTTACTTTTCATTGATTCCATACATTTTATTAGCTAATTCACTAGACACTCCAGATCATATTTAACCCGTGTAAAATAACTTATTTCTATATCAACGGGGAAACTCCCAAACCACGTATCTCGTTTGAGGTGCTTCAAAACTCCGCTCCTGTTTTACTATCTTACAGGAGAACAAGTCATCATTACTCCTTGAGGTTTTCTCATAAGTTGCTTCGCAAACAGGAGGAAAATCACCGAAGTGTTCATGAATTAACTCCTCCAATTGAAAATTAGAGTATGACATGATGTGTGCGACGTCGCACGCAAAGATACGTGGTTTGGAAGTTTTACTATCGGTATACAATTTTAAATTCAATTCTGAATACATTGGCAGAAGTAGCAGCTTTATTTTTGTCAATTTAAATTTACTTAATAATGCTACTTTGCGGTAGCAAATGTAACAGGCTAAGTTACAACTCAATCGTATATTTCTGCTATTTTATTTTAGTTTTTTCAATCATGAAAACAGGTATCACTGGCCAAGATAATCGGAGAGACGCCACGTCAAGAGATGCTGAGCCTACCCGAGCGCGCCGAGAAGAACGAACTGGAGCCGATCGCGGTTCTGGAGGTGAACCCCAATGACGTCATCGACCAGGCCCTGAAGAAGAAATTCCGGGCTCGGGACTACCCCAAGAACTTGTACGGCAAGAAGACCTCCTCCTACAAGAAACTCCACATCATCGAACAGGCCCTCAAGACGGACTTGAGCGGAATCCAAGTCGACCTCCAGAGCGTCGTCAAGCAGCTCATGCAAGGCTTCTACGCCTCCAAGAACATCCAGAAGGAACTGAAGAGCACCGGCGAATACCCTGAGAACCAAGAAGCTCAAGAGGAAGCCGCCATGGTAGCCTACTCGATCGCCAACCAGATACTGGATAAGACCAAGGGCAAGAAACCAGAAAAGAAACCTGCTGTGAAACCTGAGGAGAAGAAACCTGAAAACAAACCTGTAGAGCCGGAGGCAAAGAAAGAGGAAGTGAAGGACGAGTCCGCGAAACCTGCAGGCGTAGAGGAACAGAAAGATGAAGCCGCAAAACCTGTAGATAATAAAGAACAGACTCCGAATCCTGAAAATGCGGGCGAACAGAACGGAGATGCCGCCAAGCCTGCCGAACCTGAAGAAGCTACGAAACCTGTAGATGAGGCTCCAGTGAAACCTGAAGAAGCTGCAAAACCTGCAGAGGAAACTCCAGTGAAACCTGAAGAGACTGAGAATACGAAAGAGGATCAAACAAACGCCCCGGCAGAGGAGCAGCCAAAGGACGAGTTCGTTAAACCTGCAGAGAAGGAAGAGCCCGCTTCCAAGTCTGAAGATGCTGATTCTTTGAAAGAGGACCCATCAGAGAAGCAGAAAGAGAGCCAAGATGCGTCAAGACCGGAAAATGAGGTGACCGATGAAAAGAACCAGAGCCCCGCTACGCAAGAGGAACCGGTATCAACAAAACCGGAACCCGTGAACCAAGACCAGGAAAATAGCGAGTCAGCGAAACCGGAACATGACGGAGAACAGAAACCTAAAGAGGAACCGAGACCGGCTGAAGAAACAGCAGCAGGAAAAGAAGCTGAATCCGATGCAGAGGAGGAACAACCAAAAAATGAAGAAGCAGATAGTCCAGCAGAGAGCACTCCTGAAGATAGCCAAACCCCGAAGGAAGAAACTCAAAACCCTGAAAACTCCAACAATAGTGATAAACCTACCAACGAGGATGAAGCTAACAAAGAACCCGTAAAACAGGAAGAAGAAGCAAGTGCTGCTACCCCAGAGGAAACGGAACCCACAAAACCAGAGACCGAAAATGAGCCCGCAAAACAAGAGGAAGGAAACAGAGAACCGGATGAAACTCAGAAGCCACAAGACGAGTCAAAGCCAGTCGAAGAGGCAAATGCAGAAAGAGACGCGGATTCTGATGGAGCGAAGGAACAGCCAAACAACGAACAAACGGAGCAAGATACAGCGACTCCAGCTTCAGAGCAGACAGGCGGTGAAACACCGAGCAATGATAAGGACGCGCAGAGTCCCGAAGAGGTTAATCCTGAAGCCTCTGGAAATAGTGAGAATGCCCCAGAGCAGAACGGAGCTCCCGATGATTCCGCGACCCAAAAGCGGGAGATACCTACGCAGGAAACTGACGGATCAGGCGGAAATGGAGGTGCTGGCGGAAACGGAAATGACGAGACAAATGCTCCTGGTTCAGATGCAGGTCCTAATGCTGAGGTAAATGATGAGAAGGCTCCAGCTGATGACGCCGCACAGGAACCGTCTAAAGAAGATGCCTGGAAACCAGATGAATCGGTGACTCCAGCGCCACAAACTGATGAGTCTAAAAATCCGGCGGACCAAGAACAGCCACCCGCAACTCCGACCGAAGGCAATGACTCGGAGAATAAAGTAGATGAGCCCCAAAAGGACAATGCTGATACTCAAAATGAGGTAAGCTTTTATTAATACTTAAAAAGTCAATGTAATAAATTGACGGTGTAAGTAGGCAGTCACATAACTCGGTTTGCCGGCGTCGAAGACTTATTTTTTAAACGAAAAACTGTTTAACGGCAATTCTTTAAAACTGCCGTGATTTTTCTTCTCTGTGCGAAGAAAATTCTGCAACAACTTCAAGGAATAATGTCAATTTGTCCTCCTTTCAAATATAACATAGAAGCGAAGATTTTCAGACACCGCAAACGAGATATGTAATTGCGAACTTATGCCGTCGAAATACTCTTTGTGCTGCGCAAAGTGATCAAAACACATGAGATGGTAAATAAGAAAGAGCTTAATTGATAACCAGGATAGGATCTAAGAAAGGGGGATCGGATACCTGGTTATTAAGAAAGAACTTTATTGGTATCCAGGATGGGATCTAAGAAAAAGGGAAGAGCCTACACTGGTAAAAAAACCTCTTAGACCAACGCCGTATTGCATTGACTTAAGAAAGCAGTTTCTTATCGCCGAATTGTTGCTGGAAACAAGAGTCTGGACTCTTGTTTCAAGCGGATTTTGCATTGATTCAATTCAAAATTCGCTTGAAACAAGATTTCAGACTCTTGTTTCAAGCAACAATCCGGCGACAAGAAACTGCACTCTTGAACCAAAAGGTTTTTTTTCTTGATATGCAAACCCTGCCTCTGAAAATCAATAGGATGATGAGATTGAAAAACCTGTAATTAAAAAGCTAGCGATGAAGTTGCTACAAGGTCTTTATTCCTGTACTCTTTTGCGGCTTTTCAAAAATACCACGCAAGCTTGCTGCTATGAACGTTTCACGCTTAGTTTCTTTGCAAAATTCATCTGTTTTAGTGAAAGCCACAGATCACGCTTAATGCTACAAATCACGCGACTTTATGTAAAATTAGAGGACGGTGTAATATTCTTCGAATCAGGCTGTCCCCTGATAATTTTTAACGGTAATTATCGAGAAGATGTAAATAAAATCTTCGGTGTGAATTACTTTGATTTTCGGGGGCTGCACTTTTATTTTCTCAGAAAAGGAAGGATGATCGCATTTTAACATTCCAGATTACGGTAAATTGCGTCCGTCCATAGATATAACAACCTTTGAGTAAAAAACCTTAAAATTGAAATAAGAGCGGATACCATTGGTGACACATTGTGCCTCGCTAGGAACGGGTGGGTTAGTACTGAACAGAACTCTACGACTTTTGGATCCTGCAATCAAAGTAACATAGGAGATGAACCGAAAGTAACACAAAGTGTGAGTCTATGATGAAAATTTTTTCCGCCTGTCGCGGCGGCGCGGTATAAAACTAGGAATAAAAAAACTATTGTGTTGCTTGGTTTCTCGTATATTTTCATCGGTTTAACATGACTTGTAAAATTAGTCGTATAAAATACGCCTTTTAACTCTCTAACTAGCTCCTTTTCTCTTATTATTTCGGGGAAAAAATTCCCCGATTTTCTTGCAAAAACACCCCTAAAAGTCCCCAATTTTGGTTTTTTATAATTGGGAGACACCCTGGTTACGACGTGAGTGAGGTTTGTAGGGACCCGGAAGGAAGGGGACTCCGGGAGAGAACTACTAATATAAGTAGCGCGTAATAGCGCCTGCAAGACTTGGTGAATACTTCGCGCATTGCGCATATGCACCGTGGAGTATTAACCACCACGTGGTGGAAAATACCAATACAAGGATACCATACAAGATCACATTGACAAAAAAATTCGAACAAAATTAAAGGAAAGACAATGTTTAATTCACAATTCCATTAACGAAGTTCTGAAGAGAAACCATTTAAACATTTAACCTGTTGTGTTCGCGGTCAAATTAAACGGAATCGAATAAACGCATTCTATCGGAATCAAAGTGGATTAAACTCCTCGTAACTAATTCTTTGTAATACTAAAGAGTATATATAGCTTTTGAGATAAAAATTTCAATATTTTCATTAGACTGAAAGAAAATTGCCTCCGTGCAAACCCACCCTCGTGCTCTCATTTTTCTCAAGGATTGTTACGATCACAGATTACACATCCACGGTTACAATTGGAATTCATTTTGCAAGCAACAGCTACTACTCATGCTTCATCAGTTAAAAGACCTTTCTGCATGGGGAAATTAATGGTGCATATGTTGCTTCTGAAATGCCGAAAATAGTAGACCCGTATTGCAAAACGTAGTCCAATTGGACGAATTTAACCAAATTCTGCCTGACTGCATGTGATTTTGACTAAATTCCTCTCTTCTAAATTCCTTACAAAAAATGCACGCAAAATAACGCCATGAAACATTTTGAGAATCTTTCATAAAAAGTAAAAATTACACCCACAAAATTTCAAGACAGGATCAAGAATAGTTTTAATGCAATAAAATAGGAATGATAGGAAATGATAGGCAACGTCTCATGTGAGTAGTTAGGCTGCTTCTGGTTAATTACGATTGATTCATTCTTTTTGTAGTCAATTTCTCCCCATTTTGGAAATTTCTGGCAAAAAAAAAAATCCAAAAACATCAAGGTTAATAAAATTTAACGGGTTCTCTTAAAGTCATCTACATTCTCACTGAAATTTCTGCGTAAATCGTTCAATTATTGTCTCTTTCATTTGCGAAAATAGGCATAGTCATTGCAGACAATAATCTGGCTGTTGGAAAGAAATGGCAATAGGGAAACATGACGTCTCCGACTCCATTCGGTTCGGCAATCGCACTTTGGCAACATTGATCCACACTCTGTTAGAGAGAATGCTTTAAAATCTATGTTAAATTAACGCCGAGCATTGTTACACAGTGCATTTACTGAACCTTGGTCGAACACAAGTGTGCATACGTAGTAAAGAACATAAGCGTAGGTAACAACGAAATTGAAAACAATGGTAACAACGTTCTACACTGGGCTTTTGCATAGGAATGTTGAAAAATGTGTGTTCTATCAACGTTCTTGGTACACAGTACTTTGATTTGACTCCAGCCGAACACAAGGGTGTATACATAACACAGAAAATAAGCGCAGGTAACATCGAAATGGGCCTGTTGCAAACTTTTGCTAGAGCAGAATGAAGAGTTGTTTCCTATAGATAATGCTTCAAAAATCACGATGAGCGCATCGGCAAAGTCTGAAATGCACTCATAAATTCACAATCTGCGTAAGAAATTTGCGTTATTTTGAGCTTCCCGCTTCAAAAACGATACTACTGCACAGGTGAACATTTTGTTAGAGGAGTCGCTCCATCGTCGGCAATATTCATCATGGCCGACGCTTGCGCAGTTCCTCGCGTAATTCGAGGAGAGTTCAAGGTCCATTAAGGCGGGCGAGGAAAATATGAACGTAAACACGCCGATTGTTATATGGTTTAATCCTGTTCAGGTGTTATCTCGTCCCATCACACGTGTTTTGGCGGACTGGCGTCGGCCATAATGAGTATTGTCGCCAATGGAACGACTCCTCTAACAAAATGTTCACCTGTACCGTAGTATCGTTTTCGAAGCGGGAAACTCAAAAAACCGCAAATTTCTTACGCAGATTGTGAAGTTATGAGTGCATTTCAGACTTTGCCGATGCGCTCATCGTGATTTTTGAGGCATTATCTGTAGGAAACAACTCTTAGTTTTGCTCTAGCAAAAGTTTGCAACAGGCCCATTAAAAACGCCTTCATTTCGGAGTGATACCGCTATGGTCACATCAGAGTTGAAATATTTGTATCATGACTCCCGCGCGATCCCCGGCGGTTTTGCCCGTAATTGAACTCATAAATCAAGGCGAAAGGTCATTATTGGGGTTTAAAAAGAGAATTAAAACAATTAAAATAGGCTAAAATATACGCCATATATAACAGAGGAATAAAAATTAAACTGACATCTAAAAAAAATACAGAGTAATTGAACCTTCGGGTCGGAAATTAAGAGGTCATAAACACTAAGGAAAAGAGAATCGGGTAACTAATCCGTCTTCCCTAAAAATTAAACAACCTCACTCTCCTTAATCAGGATGATAAAAAATGTACTTCTACCCTTAAAATCTGCGGACAAAATGAACTCATTGTTCAACTCTGACTTCGTAGCGCATACTTCGTACGGCAAAGACATAATAATTTCATACAATTAATTGTGCCAGGCTATTCCGGGTTGGCTCTCATCACCATTAGACTTTTCTAAAACGAACCTATTTTTTAATCATACAATTAATTTTTATTAAATTAAGTCGTTTCGAGTTTTTGCTTTGAGTCATTTTATAGAAAAAGCTCTTTGAGAAATTAAGTCGGTGGCTCAGGAAGGAATTTGTTCTTTCGCACATTTCGCAGATAGGGTAAACTGTTCTAAAAAATTCGGGAATATCTCCAGAGAGATTAAAATATGTAAGTGGCTGTGGAGTTTACTGGAGTCTTAGGTAGTTTTGTGTGTTCGGTATTTTTTGCTGGTGAGGATCCTTGCAGCTTTGCAATTTTGTATGCATCCTTGTCTAACATCTCTTAGCTGTCACATATACCATTCTATCGTCCATAGCAAAAATGCCAAAACTTCATTCGAAATTGTATTCAATTTACTTTATTTTTTTGGATACATTATTTAATGATGGAAAAACCGACGAGCACTTACTCTCCATATTTTCAAAATAATCGTGCCATGTTATTAAATGACTCAAGCCGACAAAATTGAATATGATAGTAATCCTGCTTATTCATGATAAAACGTAATGTATTAAAGAAAAATTCAGAATCGAATGTAGCTGAGGCGTTTTTGTTGTGAACGGCAGTATTGCACACAGAAGTTTTCACAAAATCCCAATACAGATGGTGTTCCCATAGACTGATTTAGTGGCTACGTTCTACGTTTCACATCGAAGTTCGATAGTTCCATTTAGGGTTTTTGCGACCATAGAGTTCGCGATTAACACACCCACTCATATTACTGGCGCTCAAACCATACTTTCGTTGCTTAATGTGTTTATGGTTTCTTAAAGACAAACGAAGAAACAAACACC